GGTGGATAAACAAAACCCCACAAACTCTAACAAACTCCAAGCATTGATTATGCAAGAAGGGGCTGCCATCAGTCAGGATTTAGCCCAGAATTTGATTGACAGCACACCAGGGCAAACTGCAGAGGTCTTGAAAAAGAAGGGCAACACTGCAAATATTGACTCTTTGCATAAACACAAATTAATTGTCAATTGACACATGAAATGCTTGTAATTGTACTTCGGTATACCAAAGAAACATCTGACAAAAAGATCTACAAACAATGAAGCTGCAAACTTTGCGAGAAACAATACTTGTGTCATTCTCAAAACCTTTTGGCCACGACTGCAGACTGACAATGTGCCATACAAAATCGCCAAAGGAAGCAAGTAAAATAAAATACATATACACATAACATAACACCAATTGTGACCAGCCAGTCATAAAACACTCAGGAACACATACACACCCGGAAGCACCCGCATAATCATGAATGTATATGTACCATCATATACAAACACAATGTTAACCTTTCGCGGGGTCAAAGGCCAATGAGAAGATGTGGATCTTTAATGATGACTGAAACATGCTTCATGTTGGGGCAGACCTAATGTTGTAAGCTATTCCAAAGAGAAGCAGCAGCCTCTGCGAAAGCTCCGTCTCCTCTTTGCTTCAACCTCAACCTTGGCACTAGGGACGGACTAAATTCTCTGGGGACGCAAGGCTCACATGGGTAGGGAGGCCCTAAGTGAACCACTGGAGATATACTTGGAGTCAAAAGAGAAAGGAGAGGGATTTAAAAACAACGAAACTTGAATAACATGCTAATCAAAACGTGGGGTGCTAGCAGTAAAATTTACTGATCAGCGAGGGGGTGGGAATGCTGTTGGCAAAATTTGCTGATGGGGGGGGGAGGGGGGTAACGTGCCAGACGATGGATCGGTCAAATTTAAGAAGTTTATCCATTCTCTTGTTTGCTAAGGTCAGGCTGGAATTTTTGCATACATTCGCTTAATTGTATTCTCTCCACATCTGTTCACAGTTTGTTTACCACTCTAGAGAGACAGTATCAGTCAGGGGAGATGTAATATTAGTCCTGTATCTTTGTGCCATTCTCTTATTACTGTGTGTCAGTTCGCTTGGCAGTGAGCAGCCGGTAGACTCCAGTGGTGACAGAAAGCTATGCAGTGCAGTCTTCTGGAAATTCTGTCTCCATGGGGCCCCTAGTTTTCAGGGGCCCCAGGCTGCCGCCTACCCTTGCTGTGTGGTAAGTCCACCCCTGCATGGCACAACTAAGAGGTAAGAGGGGGCCGTTCCGTTTAGACGTTTAAAAACAAGTAACAAAATTTTAAAATCAGCTCTGAAGCGGACCGGAAGTCAGTGAAGTAAAGGCAGCACTGGTAAGATGTGGTCACTCTTCGGAGTGTCTGTCAGTACTGTTTCCAAGTAGTGGCTGGTTAAGTCTGGAGTCCCACAGAACCCAAATGAAACACGTGTGAAAAGAAACAGACATGTGAGGGACAGCTAGGGAACATGTACGTGGTTATTCGTGTGCGTAGGACATAGGGCAGTGGGCCTTATCTAGCTCTGTTATGGGAAATACTTCTATTTTTAAGATTTGATCTTGGATTTCCCAGTTTGATAAGAAGTACCTTTCAGGCTTATCAAAGCGGGAAACAGCCCTTTGCTAGTGTTCCTGAATAGACAGGACTTCAAAGCATAATGTGTTTCTCTCTCCACCTTAGTTGATTTCCAGTGTAGAGGTTGGAAATAACAAACACTAAAACCTATCTGGAAAAGGTGATACTAAACAGTCTACCTAAGCTACCTGAAGGGTAATACCTAATTATCAGGTCAATCGCACCCACCTGCTTCGACCTCACTTGTTTCCCTTAAGATAAAGCTATTATGCATTAGTATTGAATTTACTGTGTAATGGGGGACTTAAATATCCTGCTGCCAAACCAGATAGCACACATATGTTGAAATGACATTGATTCCATATCAGACAAAAAGGTTGAAACAACGCTGATCTTCAATCTTTCACTTTATATCAACATTGGATCGAGGTTTTGCCATCATCAATTTTTCAACATTGAAAATCTGACCAAAGATCAATTCGTGATAATTTAACACTGACCATAATTCAACGCATTTAACTATAATTCAACGTTGAAACAATGACATGATGCTATTTGGGAACTCTTTTGACGTAGGACCCAAAGCATCAACAGAGGTCAATTGAGACAGGGAATTGATATCCACATTTTTTTTAGAACTGGTTGATTTTAAGTCTAAGAATGTTCTCATTACATATTTAACTACAGTGGAAAAATAGCGAATGGTAGCTGGATACCTAGTCATATATGGTATGCTTTCAAGATTAAAACAAGAAAGCACGGAGGCTGAGCAAAACAAAAGCAGTTAGAAAAGCGGACACTGAGTGATCGGACAGTAATATCTGGCAGATCGAGGCATCGCGGTAGCAGCGAATGAGGAAGAGGATCTAATTATTAAAGGCGAACAGGGCTCTTCAAGTTCCGAAAAACACTGACAGGCACTTAATGACAACCGGATCCAAACAGAACAGCAGAAAAACAAGGAGGTTAAACGAGATATGGACACGCGAGGATCGGACGGGGTTCACATAAAACACGGGCAAACACACACGCCACAATCGGGAAATACGACTATTAACTCTCATGCCAGCCTGAGAAACAAAAAAAAATATACGGAAAAATAAAAACTACTAAACGAAAACTATAAATATTTCTCCTGAAACTAACTGAAATATAAAAACAAATTTCAAATACTGGTAATTTCCGTATTGTTTTTCAATATTATTTATAAAGGAATGATTTGTTTATCATCCCTCCTTGATGGAAATCATTCAAGGAAATGTCCTCCAGCGTTGCCTTTGAATAGCGCCGCGCTTTGGCACTCGGTTGTGCAATGCAGTTGAAACCATAGAAACTGACAACGGCACTAGGCTACATAAGGACGTTTTATAGCAGCTAGCTAAGTCCCACGTAACTTCATAATGGCTACTGGCAGAAAACAGACTAGTGTTCAAAAGAAAGGTTTTTGACATTTGATTTATAAACAGTTACACAATAAATAGTATTTTGGATAATTAGTATTTTGGATAAACAGTATTTTGGATTGTTTAATTGTTTGTGTAACTGATCATGAATCAGATGCTTGACTGTTTTTATAGGTGTATCACAATGTTATATATAAACCGCTCATAACAGCTGAAACACGTTTTACAGATTTTGAGGACATTAATACACAAGGTGCACTAACAGGATTCTCTAAAGATCAGACACATGAAATAGTTCTGCAACATTCCGATTTTCCCTAGAAACCCTATAAATGGCAATTTACTCATTGGCAAACTTGTCTTTTTTTATTAGAGTTACAATCGTATATGAAATGTTTATACCCACTTATTAAGGCAGATGCTATTTGCACGCAGGATGGATAGCCAGAGTGAACAACGCTTACTCGCAAAAAGTAGCAACGAAAGGCGAAAAAAACAAGTTGAATGTTGTGATATGAAACGCAACGTAGGCTATTAAGTCTCAGAATCGCGCCTTGGAAAATTATTATGTGATTATGTTGATTTTCCTTGTCTTTATCAGTATCCTTCTCCCTCATTTTGCCATTAAATCTTTTATTCTGGTTTTTACACAGAAAATGCCATACGTATTACTGAAACAATCGCGATAAAACACAAGATCATTAAGCTATTATCGTAAGGCGCATTATTAACGTGAACTCTGGTGAATAAAAACTTCACGAAAAAGTTCATGCTGGATAGTGACTCACCCAAATGTTTGAGATAAAATTCTCTGCAGTGCAACACTGTAAAAAGAGATGTGGTAAAAAAAAATAATAATAACACAAACTGTGTCGTTTTTAACACATCTACATTTTCCGTTAAGGACAAGACTATTTGTGTGAGTTTTACTAAAATCAACTGTGTTGTAAAATTTTACTCTGTTTTCCTTCCAAATTTTTACAAGAAAAAAAGATTATTTATCAAGAAAACAACATTTACTTCATGCAACGTTTCATGTAGACAGTTGCGGCTTTTTCATGTTCAGAAATTACAACCAGTCTCCTCTCAATCACAGTTTAATGCAAGAATATTCATTATAGTCACACTACTACACTACTTAAACAAACTTGTATCTCGGATTAGCATCTATTGCATCTTTTAATGAATAAATTCATACTCATTTGTTCACTTCTCCACATAAGTATGCATATGACCATCAAAGTACTTTAGTTAAACAATTGCATATTTAAGTACAAATCCACCGATATGTTGGTGAAATTTGACAAATTTCCTATTTGAATCATACATTAAACAGTCACTATGAAATTATCAGCCCTAATTTAAAATTTCTAGTGAATTGACAAACTTATTTGATTTGGGTTATGTCAGTAAATTTGCTAAGAAATTTGGCATAATGTTCCCCCTCCCTAGAATTAGTAGTATTTTTTAGTAAGCAGTAGGAACTAGTCATACCAGTCCATTAGTGACATGACTGGATGGGGTGGCATTGTTTGTAGAATTGCTATCATTTTTTGAAGAAATGGTGGATGAGCTTTTACGTTTACAAGTCTTGACGGCATTGTGTTATTTGCACTGGTGCTTGTGTCTGTAATAGTAGTTAAACTGTCTGATGAGCTAGCTACACAATGCTTGTACTGGTGAAAAAACTATAGTAATCCCGGGTAGTATCAATTACAGTTGTAAGTACTGGAGGATGGGAGGTGGTAGTGGGCTGTGTAGGAGTAGTAGTAGTAGTAGTAGTAGTAGTAGAATGACGGGAGGTGGTAGTGGGCTGTATAGGAGTAGTAGTAGTACTGGTAGTAAAACAGCAGGTGATAGTAGGCTGTGTAGTAGTAGCAGTAGTAGTAATAGTGTGTGATGGGCTAGTTACATTGCTTGGATTATTATCATAGGTATACAGTATATATAGTAGTAGTAGTAGTAGAAGGAAGGGAGGTGCTAGTGGGCTGTGGAGTAGTAGTAGTAGTAGTAGAAGGATGGGAGGTGGTAGTGGGCTATGTAGGAGTAGTAGTAGTAGTAGTAGAAGGACGGGAGGTGGTAGTGGGCTGTAAAGGAGTAGTAGTAGTACTGGTAGTAAAATAGCAGGTGATAGTAGGCTGTGTAGTAGTAGCAGTAGTAGTAATAGTGTGTGATGGGCTAGTTACATTGCTTGGATTATTATCATAGGTATACAGTATATATAGGAGTAGTAGGAGTAGTAGGAGTAGTAGTAGTAAAAGGAAGGAAGGTGGTATCGGGCTGTGGAGTAGTAGTAGTAGTAGTAGAAGGACGGGAGGTGGTAGTGGGCTGTGTAGGAGTAGTAGTAGTAGTAGGGGGAGTAGGAGTAGTAGAAGGAAGGAAGGTGGTATCGGGCTGTGGAGTAGTAGTAGTAGAAGGACGGGAGGTGGTAGTGGGCTGTGTAGGAGTAGTAGTAATAGTAGTAGTACTGGTAGTAAAACAGCAGGTGATTGTGGGCTGTGTAGTAGTAGCAGTAGTAGTAGTAGAAGGACGGGAGGTGGTAGTGGGCTGTGGAGTAGTTGTCATCACTGGTACAGGAACCGTAACTGGAGCTGGCAGGTCAGTGCAGAGGAAACACAGTTCAGTGTTAGAAACAAAAATGCAGACAAATTGCATCTCTGTCATTCACTGCTTTTAATCCAGCAATTTCAGTATGAGAGATATAAATTCATATTAAATGGGCAGAATACAAATGAAGTCTTACTATTTGTATATGTAGGGTCCACACTGATACTGGTATTTACAGAACCAGTCAGTATTGCATCAGAAAATATATTCTTGATAATGTCACCATTGATCACGACCATAGTGTTGAACACCAGTGTGGAATCTGTGATCACTGATCCATTGCTGAAAACAGAACAAAGAGAAGAAATTAAATTTTACTGGATATTTACACTTTGTCACATTTTAGTTCTTGTCCTTATCCAGTTCCGATCACTCAGGCTGGTGCCCACTTTCTACTAGTAAAAATATATATATTTCCAACCTAGCAGATTAGTCCATATAGCAGGACAATGGGTAGAGTGTGGATGTTCTTGTCCCTAATTCTATACTGGACTTTCTTCCATTTATAGCAATAATTAATAATTAGAGATGATGATCAGGTTAAGTGGATATAAAATTGATGCATATAGAAAATAAGAACAAAAGCAGAATTCAGTGAAGTAATTATAGCAGGGGTTTACTAAAAAATTCATGCAAGTTATAGTGAATCAAATTTATCTGCTATGAAACTATGAAAGTATAGAGTATAGTGATATCTTAACGTCACGCCTACCTCCCCCTCCTGTTTTTTCCCTAGCGTGGCCCTGACGAGCTACGCCTGTTCAGCGTTTGTCTTCACTCTCATTCCTACTCTTATGTTACTCACTCCAGGTGCCTCTTGTTTGCTCCCTCATTAGTCTTGGTATAAAAGTGCTTCCCAGTTCTGTGTTTCTTAATCCTCTCTTTGAAGTTGTACCCTAATATTGCCTCTCCTGTTTGCCTGTGTGTTCTTCCTGATTTGTGATCCTCTGCAATCCAGTTGTGTTCATGCCTGTTCCCTTTTGTTTTTTTTTTTTAATAAATCCTGTTTTGTTTGCTCTGACTCCTGCTCCCACGTCCTTCATCCCACCATGTGCAACAGACATAATGACATAACAGAGATACCTGAAGGTTATGTCTGCAGCACCTGTGTAAATCTGATAGGTGGCGCATCCCGAACAGCCAAAGATCTGTTGGAACTGAAACATAACAAAGAGACCAGTATTCAATTACTGGTTTGGATCAGCCCACTACCACTTTCAATACAAAATTTCTAAGCTATTGAAGAAGACTAGCTATATTTATTATATCCAGAAAACAATTTGATTGAATGTGTTATTTTGTAATTTATCTATGTCTGTAACTGATCTCAAGGACTGAATTAGATTCTTACCAAGTTTCTAACGTCATCTGAGAGCTTCACGTAATCATCTGAGTTGTGGTCTTCAAGTGATTGGTTGTAGATGCTGTTGGTGATCTTCATAGAAAGCGCAAAAGCTATATATTCTTCATTTTCTTGGGTCTGGATGGGAATTCTGGAGCTTGATGGGTGAAGACGACGTTCTGGGAGGCCCTCTGCTGACAGAAGGTAGATTATGGCTTAATGGAAAGGTGT